CATGTATCGAGTACAAATGTACTTTTATATCCACAGACAAGTGGCGGCCATTTGCATTCATCAATATCTTTTTCTTTTTCCCCAAAAGAACACAGCCAGATGTGAAAAAAATCACAAAGTCTGTCCTTTTTTTTTAAACACTATGAGTAAGTAAAATATACCCGGCAGCTACACCTTTTAAAATCACGACAGAGAAATCTTACATGTACCTGAGAATGAATCATTACCTCTTTGAGCCACCACCAAAAATAATTTCAAATAGATACCAGTAGCCCATTCTTGCTGTAAAAATACGATATGTACATGTCCATGTACGATACGAGATGTGTACCCTGTACAACAAAAAAGTTTCACGTTAACCAGGATGCAGAGTACAGGCATGTCAACATGATACATGTACGTATGTGTGTATTATTTACAGCCATGCCAATGTACAATTTACTGCTACTGGTAACAAAAAATCTGGCAGCTCCGGATATCCTCATTTCTAGTCAGCAACCTGTGAACAACACTGGAGAGTCAAAAACTCAAGTGACCACAAAACAACAACCCTGCACAAGAAACAATTGGAACTGGCTGTACCGCATACTAGTACATGCATCGTGACAATAGAAATCATTCTCATTTGTGTATACATGTAAGTCAGGAGTGGATGACAGACATTGTGACTACATGTCCAGAAGTCATAGCAATAATCAACTGCTAACAGTTTCTCAGACATGCAGTAAAAGCAACGTATCAGTGAAAAAAACACATCATACAACATGTAGTCTAAATACATCACACCATATGCATGTGATGAAGCCAAAACACCGCCCTATAAAAAAGCTCTAGATAATTTTTCAAGCTCTGGTCTTGAACAAAATTTCGTTTTGTATAATTTGCTTGTCAGCAATGGATGATCTTAACATGTACGGGTACCAGGCTTGGGCGAATCCCACTGGAATTGGGTAGAATTGATTCCAAATTTGGAATTGGAGTCGCGATTCCACTTTTTTGAGGCCACCGCCAATTCCATTACCTTGAGATCTGATTCCAGGAACAGTCCAGCGATTCCAAAAGACTGCCATATAAAATGATCCGTCAATTTTTTTTTAAATGTGTGGTGTTATGCCAAATCACAGAACCTAAACCGGGTGGCTTTACTTTCATTGCCAAAAACTGAAGTCTGTGATGAGACATGGCCCACATGCTTTGCAGAATCGCAGCCGCTCCGTGCCGTACTCCGACCAATTTGTCTGCAGCACGCCGATGGCCCACTGTTGGCTGCATGCCAATTGTGACTCCCTAACATGCTGAGCATTTGGGTGCTACATCGTGAGCAATGAAAACTACACGTACGGTGGAGTTTTTCCCACACGCTAAATTCTTTGCAATGAAATTTCTTGTCGCTGATTACCCTCTATTTCTTATTGGAAGCTCAACTGTGAAGGATCGACACCAATTAGAAACTCATTCCTTGGAGTGTTTATTACTTCCCAAAAAAAAATCTTCCGCTGGAGCAAAGTCGAGTTTTAATCTTCAAGATCAGAGCAAACTGTGGTGGAAAAAGTAGGCCTACATGAACTTTGTCACATATTACAAAAATTTACTCAGAACGGAAAGAAAAACCTGAACAATGCAGCCCTTTGTCCGATATTAATTCTTCCTTTACCATGAAGTACTCGAAATGCAAGTAACTGTTGAAGCATTTGAAAATTCCCATGATGCCAGCTTTTGGAAATTCCTGATATCCCATAAACCTTGACATAAAATCAGCGATCCGAAGTTGTTTAAAGTCAAACATTTCCAGGGTTTGCAAACTAAACTTAAACCATTCATAAAAAAAAAGAGAAGCTGTTGGGATCGGCAATGGCATCGGCCTGGGTGGAGATCAGTGTTCAAATTCATGCATGTTTCTAATAGTCCTGCATGCGTCGACCGCTCTCCGTTGGTGCACGTAACCTTACACAGCTATACTTTGTGGGGTATTCCCTTTGTTCTCATGTACAAAACTCTCACACAACACGCAAAAATTTGCAAATCACTCCCATCTGAACCAGATTTACTTTCCTACTTTGGAAATTCGACTTCACGTCCCTTATTTAAAATACTTCATTTTGAGACTGACGAATGGCACTTGAAAATTCCTCCTTTTGAGTAAATATGAAATATCTATTTCGTGAAATCCTTGTCGGGTACTTTCTCAGTACCCCACAAGTACCCTATGGGTAACTTCCCATTGTTCCGGTATCCCACAAGCCCCTCTACACACGCGCACAGAGGTACAGACCTGTGGCTGTGGGCCGACTGCAAGCATTTCTTTGCGCATGCGCCGTGTTTGAGTCTGTGAGCTATGCGCCATGATTACCGTCACTCACTCTGCCGACACAAATCTTTGACTACTTTTCATCCTTCATTTCTGCCATAAAGATAAGAAATTCGACTCAACCTGTTGAGTGAATTGAAGGTCAAATGAGCAATTCTCAAAATTTTCCATCTCCACCTTGGAGCAAGACTAACAGCCTCATATTGAAGCTGCTGGTAGCAGGCATACACATAGAAAGAATGTAGCTTTAGGCATGTCCACCAGCGATTGCACGAACAGGCCGCTGTCACAAGCGGTGCTGTGCGGCGCATGAGCAGTCCAATTTTTGATGGAATTTACAATCAAAAGATCGAGAAAACTATCACAGTTCACCGTCAGTGGAATAAGGTCACATTTTTTGGGACATTTAAGTAAAAAAAATATTTCTTCAGTACATTTTTGGCGGCATGAAAGTAAAGGTACATACCTTATGTTTCTTTCTTGTCAAATAGGCATTTTAGAACTCACTACCACTTATATATAAACTGGATAACTTGAAAGCCAGCGGGCTACATAGATTGATAATCTTTTCCCATAAATGATGTGCTTCCATCAAGTTAAAATTTCTGATTTAAAACTCTGCAATGATAATAAATCTTTCATACTTCCGATGCAAAAAAGGGGATAATGTTTAATGAAACGAGTTTAATGAAACGAGTTTAATGAAACAACTTGTAAGTTGTTTAGGAACCAACTTACAAGTTCATTTTGCATGTAATCTCGGGTATACTCAACATGGCATTTGCACATGTAAAAAATGAAATCAATTCCGAGTGGAATCACGATTCCTGGACGGAATCGGAATCGATTCCAAAAATGCTGGAATCACCCAACACTTACATGTACCCATCCAGCTCTGCAATATTGCCAACATTTTTTAGTTTTGCGTTTGGACAGGAGCAATACCATCCAGAAAAAAATTTCTTGTCTTATTTCCGACAAGATCAACATCAAGCAAAGCAGAACGGTTTCAGCCAAGCAGAATTTAATTGCTCAGTGAGCCTCGAAACAAGTCTAAGCTGACATTGTACCGGTAGCATTGTTCACGACTGGTTGAATGGTTTCATCTCAAATAATTGGTAAGCAAGCCTTGAAGCACATTTGAGTTTTTCTCTGTGTTTCATCTCATTTGGTATTTTCCAAGGCATTAATGGTATATTTGCTTTTTCTCATTTTATAACAGCATTATCAGGTGCAGTGGTACAGCCGGATCATGATTAATGAGCACATCTTGAGCCAAGTCTACATGCTGCATGATACTATGCATGTACATGTACCTCTATCAGTTGTGACATGAGACTCCAGCACCTAACTAGAGGTCTGCACAAGTCTTAATTGGTAATTTTCTCTTCCCAAACACGCTGCTTGAAAAAGGGAGCATAATGACTGTGACTGATTGAGCAACCACAAGCAGGATATATGTACATGTACCGGGTATGTCCTTGCGAAGCTATCTGTCTACAAAGGCGCTTCTGCAATAGTCCTAAGGAAATCCGAAGGGAACTACAGCAGACTTGGGTTCTGGTTACTCCACAGGAGAAAAAAATCTCTTTTATTTTGGTTAGGTTTGTGTTAGCAAAGACCAAATTCAGAGCGATTCATTGTGAGGATAAAGAAATTCATGTAGCATAAATGAAACGCATCATGATGCAGACTAATAAGGTGCACATTTTTCTCTAAATTTTATAGGGGGGGAGGAAGAAGTAGGCAAACCATTATGAGCATACGGCACAGAACAAATTTCATTTGCGTATCCAGCATCGGTAAATATTCATAAGTCCAGCTTCTCTTCACCAATCTGTGAGGGGATACTCAAGTTTGGAGCATACATGCACTTTGCGTTTCCTTTTCTTATGAGGGGGGTTCTCATTTCCTTTCCGAACGTTTAATCAAATATTTTTTAATACACATAGTGCAAGCATACAATGTACATAACATGCACTGAAAACTTTTGGTCCATCTTCTCCAAAAGCAACAACAGTAATTACGATCGAACAGAACAGCAACGTGTTAGCTATGATATGAGTTGTACCAGGACATTTTACTAAACAAGCAGTTGACTGCAAAAAATTGCAGTCATTTCAAAGGCCTCTGGAGATTCCAAGAGGCTATAGTCAAATGCATGTACACGTATTGTACATGATGGTGTGCACAGGCCTAAATGGTGGAGCCATTAGTTGAAATCTTACAAATTTAGTTAGTTTACAAATAGTTTACAAATGAGGGGGCAGAGCACACAAAACTGCATTGAGAACTTCCATCATAAATATGTCCACATTTATTTGGAATTTGGCAAATTTCCTTCCTTCATGAATAACAAGCCACCACTCACTAAAAAAAATCACCACGCACAGGTAACCCTCAGCCATCATAAAAATAAGTTTCCAACTGTGCAAATGCAGAAACCTGTAACGTCATGAACGTTAATCAGTCACACACACACACACGTACCGACAACGCATGGTACCAAAAAATTGATTAACTTTTACCGGGACCGATCATCATTAATACAGCGCCGTCCATTACCACCGTCTGAACTACATTACTCAGACCACCTCCTGAAAACGGGCGGCAAATTTCGGGTTCAAACAACGAAACGGAGGACATAAGGGAGAAAACGAGAGGGGAACCATCAAAAAATACCAGAACTCACCTTTTATCAATGTAGCCGAACAAAGACACCGTTGACTAAACGCCAACGGCCACACTGTGTGGTGGTGCGTGGGTTATTTTTTGTTGTGTTTTTAGAGGAGACAGCCAAGGCAGTGTATACCACGCTTGATTTGGTTTTCTTCTTTTTTAATACGTGAACGGGTTCAGGTTGAGCGCACACATGTAGGCCTACACCACACGACACCAACTATCTCCTCTTGCTATCTCAAAACTGGTCCCAACTCCCCAACACTTCTATCTTCTTGGGCCGTCGTCCTGGGGTCCTTTTTCCTCCTCCACTGGTGACGGAGACGGTCGCGAACTGGCTCTTGTTCCACTGGGGCACGGTCATGAATATTCCTCCACGGTCCCACGCATACAAGTGGGTCAAAGCCACGGTGGTGGCGAAGAAAAAAACAAGAAAACCGGAGGCCGGTGGAATGGAATTATTGCCCTCACGTCGTGTACGATGGCGCTGGTACTAGTGCCTTCTCATTTTGTATTCCAGTGTGTTAAACCGTACGTACGTTGAGCCTTTGGAGCCCAATGCAGGGAGTGTATTATGCATGCACACTGTGCTGAATGCGTTTACTCCGCGCGCGTTGGGGTTGGAATTGAATACGGTGTTCTCGATGAGCCGTGATACCGGAACCGAAGCGACGTTCCATAAAAAGCACCGATGCTTGTGAAGTCGTTATTGAGTTATAAAATTCATCAAGTTTTGTATTGTTTCTAATTATATATGTTTGTGTAGCTTTTTTCTGTTGGAGTTCTTAAAATGACCTCAGCTATTGTTAGCAGGGGAAACTTTATGAGGAGTCCAGTTCAAATGGCTTGAATCTATCCAGAAAGAAATTAACTTTCTTGGTGGGTTATAAACAGGAGAGCCATACGATAACTTGACTCATCTTTTGTATCTTTGCTTCGAATGCTGTAACTTTCTGTTACTATTTCCATGCAATTAAGGGGCCCACATGCAGTCTCATTCTTTGACAAGAGCTGCATCCAGGAGGTGTATAACCCATACCTTCACGACCCAACTTTTGCTACTACGTGTAATGCTAACCAGTCTCCTGCTGTGGAGAAAAACTAGGTATTTTAACCACAAACCATGTTCTTGAATACTAAAACATCTGGATAATTTCTGCTGATCTGTTATTTTCCGATTTTTTGGAGGGGGTGCAAAAAGCGGCAAAGCCCCTTCCCCCGTCAATAAATTACATGATCATCTCAACGCAGTTATTAAAAGATATTTACAGGGTTAATGGCATTTATTGACCGCCGTCAGATGCAAAAAGATTAGCGGCAACGATCAACAGACAGTTGGTACCAAAATTAGCTCCTCCTGCACACTTTAGTACCGGCAGACAAATTTGCCTGAGCATATTAAAAACATCCGGTGAACTTTAAGCAGTTATAAATTTGAAATCTAATCAAGTCGTTGTGTGCGGTGTGGTGGTGACTTATTGAACAACTTGACTGTATGAGAAATTAGCCGTTTGCACGATTTGTACACATTTTTCTCCTTTTCCCTGCTTGTACTCGGAAACATGAACTTCACTCTTAATAAAACCGTCGACCTGATGCCGTATGGTTCAGCGGTTTTGAATAAAGCCAACACCTGGCGATTTATAACTAGTTTATACCAGTTTGCTGATTTGATATTCGATGAATTGACAACAGGAATCAGTGCGTGTTTTTGATATTGAGTGTGGGCCGAGAGAAACAGGTCATAAAAAGATACCACGAGTCGAAAGTGTAAATAATGGAAGAAGTCTCCATATAATTTCCTAAATCGACAATATCACTGGACAAATAATTGTTAACTTAACTGTCTTGCCTACTAAAACCTTTTCTGTGCTGTACTCCTTATTTAAGCAAATAGAAGTGAAGTTAGTATCTTCAAGAAAACGGCTTGAATGCCAAAAATGATACTATACGGTGCCCGTGAGCAGTCCGCCCCATATGCAGCAAGATCGTGATGTTATTTTGTACCATCCAAAATGCTCTTTATACCGAAAAAAGCAAAATATTAAAAAGTAATTATATAAACAGATGTCAACATTATAAAGTAATACCCTTTTTCACTTGTCACCAGCAGTTAGCAGGTTCATAGCCCGACAAGATTATGTCCTTTTTCAGGCCCTGAAAAAAACTTGTTGCTTTTCGATTCGAATAAAACTCACCTATAAATAAGGGATCAGCAGCTTCCTCCCAAAAAGGCGTGTCTGCGTTTAGTAGGGCGGTGGTTTAAACGCCACAGGATGTGACGAATGCATGGTATATATTTATACCATTTTTTTTATAGTATTACTATTTGTATATTCTCCTGATAGATGCAGTCAACATTTGAGATCATTAATTTAAAATAAAGAAAACAATAAAAGATATGATCGATTTCACGAGCTAGATGTCACATGGAGTTGCACTGTATGCACACTGTCATTTCGAAATTATAGAGAAAATTTTATTTCCTGTAGCTCCTCAGTGGGATATTATTACAGCAGATTTGTAGGATGGACGGACACATACTTCGTAGCCTAAGTTGATCATAATTTTCCGTAAATCCATTGTGTATATCTTGACTAAAAAGTGTTGTTTTGATGAATAATGGTAGATGACCGTGACTGGTAATTATCATGTCTGCAAGCACCGGATGGTCTCTGACTGCGAAATGCCTCCAGATCACCTGACCAGGGGCGCGGGGAATCAAACACGCCACCACCAGCTGGACATCTCTGCCCTTCATCGTGGGTTGTTTTGTTTTCAACATTTTAAGCTTCTGAAGCATATTACGAAATTATTCAAAAGGATAGAGCAAATTGGAAATTTCAACTAACTTAATTAAAGATTGCCTTCCATTTTTGTTGTTGTATAGCAAAGGAAATTGGACTTAGATTTTCCTCTTCCAGCAAAAATCTAGTTCATTGCAGCATGTTCATCGTGGTTTCAAACAACAGACTCCAACTTAGGTATGTAGGGTTTGAGCCAAGCACGACCACCCATGAGGGACAACAGTCGTAGTTGTCCGAGTATTGTGAGGTGTGCAAGAAATTCATTTCCCCCAAATTGGTTTTGGAGAATATTATCGTTTTATTTGCAGCCTGCGTCGATCTCCTTAATGACAAGGTCACTCTGGCACGGGGCTTTTGTTAGGACAAAGTGAATTTTTCACTTATTTGCCTTGTATTACTTGAAGAACCAGCTGCAAAATTGTTTTATTCCTGTCTATTATGATGTCAGGGCAAAGAACAAAATGCCGGTGATGAAGGAAATTAAGCTCTTATACCTTCTATATAGTGCATTTATAAAATATCAAATTTATTCATTCGATTTCTGCAATGATTGAGTAATATTTTGTCTGTGTACTGAAATTTTCTTTGATTTCATTTTCGTGTTACTGCCTATGAACAGGTGTATTAAGAAACCTCAACTTCCATATACATGCACATGTACGTTTTTATAGAAAGCAGCAGTCTGATGAATTTAAACAGCGCCATCTGACGATACCTTCCTAGTGGAAAAGGGAGCGATTGTCAATACACCAAGTTTTCGAAAAGTTTATTCATTTGCAAAACAAATCTAGTAGACTCTGTTAATATTCAAAAATGCGTTACATATCAACGCAAAAGAATAAGGAACAAAGTGTCTAGGTTTTATATATATACTGTCCTTTAGGCGCCTATCATCATTTTATTTAACTGAAAAACAAAGCTATAAAAATGTCAAAACCCTCGATTCATTGTCTAATTAAAACGAGCATGATCGATCGTTTATTTATCATTGCAACCGTTTGGTTGATTGTTTATCGACTGTTTTATGATTGTCGAATTGTTTTTGCCCGATTCACGTGGTTGGATTCAATCTGTTTGTTGTACTGTTTATGTGTATGTTAAGCGGTTTAATTTAGTCGGTGTCTAGTGCGTCTGGTGCCAAGACTCACCAACTTCGAAACAAAATGGCTGACTTGAAGGCGCTCGAGCACGCAACACTGAAGGTATTTGGGAACTTTGACTAAGAAAAAGGGCTTTTAAAAGAGCTGTGTGATATCTATCATTTGTTTAATACCTGAAGCTCATATGTGATCCTTTGAGAATCGGAATCATTAATTTCTATTCCTGCAAACTGCCAAAGAACTGTGCGATTTCAGTCGCAAATATCTTCAGTACTACTTGGCCTGTTGGCTATTCATTGTCATTGTACGAGACTGTGGTGAATATGGTTTGCACGTATTTGCGCGGGCGGGGCTAAATGTACAGATGAAAATATCTGTTCACTTGAATGCATTTTTTTCACTGGCTGCTTGTATCATGTTGTGCTTATGTACCATCAAGTCATCCAAATTTAATTTTTGACTCTGAAGTGTCTGATGTTTGAAGAAAATGGAACTATGGGAACGATAGCTGAAATTATTCAGCAGAACCAGTCCTGATTAATCATGATTATTTATGTTGCACAAATTTGCAGTGTTCCACATGTTTCAGGCTATTATCACCTTTTCTCATTGGGCTATTTAGAAAAATGGATTGTCCCTGACTGTCCAGTCATTCTATTAAAAAATTAAAAAATTATGCTCCACATCTGATGATGTCTTCTAATTTTGAAGCCATCTTTTCTTTAATTGAAGCTCAATAATATTTATTGACTTTTCTTTCTTCATAATGTTGAATTTGTGCTCCCAAGCCTCCCATATAGGCATGGTTTTTTTTTTTTGTTTCAACTTATGAACTGTAATCCTCGTCATTATTTTAACAAGGCAAGGTCATTTGGGATGGAAGCGTGATATCACATCAGCTTGAATCTGGTTGTGTACATTGCATGTTTACATTGGTTGCCCCCAAATGACCTACACGTATGACCCACATCCACATCAACATGTTTTGTTGGAATACTGAAGTGGCTCATTGTATCTTACCTGATGTGCTTTTTTTTCCCATAAATATTTCGATGACAAACAAAAACTCTTAGGCAACCAGATGTAAAGCTGGAAATCAACTTTCTGTCGCAGGTACCATATGAAACACTGAATAAAAAGTTCCGCAACTGCCAAAAGACTATTGACAGAGAAGTTTCACATGTAATGCAGGTACGTATAGCAGGGAAGAGTTGTTCAGAATATGGCCAAAGGTTCAGTGTTTTTAATGTTTTGATCCCGTAGCATTACAATGCAGGCAGTATGTCACACCTGTGCTTTTCTACAGTAGTGAGATTTTTATTGTTGTAGGAGACAGTGCAAACTGGTTGTAGGGGGGTAAGGGACGATTAACACATGAAAATCATTAGAAATGTTTATAGAATCACAGAGTAATGCAGTATTTAAAAACCTCTGAGTGAATAAACAGCACTCTCAGTCATTTCTTCTTGGTTGCCGGGCCTTCTAGGTTCACAGTGAGTTGGAGAAATGCCTAGAGAACAAGTCGACGACTGTGGGGACAGTCGTTAATATTCTGGACTCGATGGTGGACAAGCTAAGTGCTCTCAAGAGAAAGGTAGGCACATCAGTGACCAGTCTTGTTTCATACTTCAGGCTAAAAATCCAGTTTAGGAAATTTGCCCCATGCGTCCATGAGTTAGGCTCGTTGTCTAGAATCATCTCCGGATATGACGAATATCAAGCAGTTGGTTGTGTGATTAACTTACTTTTTTCCCTCTCAGGCCAATGAATCTATTACCCAGGAGGAGGACAGTGCCCGAGTGGTCAAGCGCCGTCTGGAACATCTCAAGGAATATGAGGGATCTACAGGAGCAGCCTTGGCGTCCTGGAAGAAGAAGCGAGTTGACCGCATGCTGGTGGAATACTTCCTGAGAGCAGGGTACTACGATACAGCCGTCAAGTGTGCTAGGCATTCTAATATTGAGGCAAGTCTTAGGTCGTTTCAAGCTATTCATGGTGACAGACAACTAAGGTGGAAAGCTTGCGGTAGCACCATGCAAGGATATGATCTCTTTGAAAAGAAACGTGAGGAACTCCTCACGGTTCTTTTCAGAACCATACAGACTCACAAAGAGATCGTATCCTTGCATGGTGCTACCGCAAGCTTTCCACCTTAGAAGTCTCATGTTGTCTAAAAAGGATGAAGACAACCAGTGTATACTGGTCAAAATGTCCAGTACAAACTCAAGTTCTTTCATGAACCACACTGCCACGTAGTGGCACTGTACATGACTAGTCAAATCCTCACAGCAGGCTTGATTCCAAGAGCTAGACACAAGGGTTAAGTTTCTGCAGGTTGTCCTAGGCAGTTCCAAGAATCACCAGGCTGACCCGTGTAAAGGCTACCTGTCAAGCAACCATTCTCACAAATTCAGAATGGCTGCTAAAATTCCCTGGCTGCTTTGGCCAAGCTCCAAACCTCTCAATCTCCCACTCGCCACCACCTGTTAAACTATCAACTGCAAAAATGAAACAGGCATATAGTGTGGCTAAATATACATGGGCCTTTCTGAAAGCCAGTGGCTGCTAGTGCTAGACCTGTGTGCCATATTCAGCTACAGCCTGTCCATTTGGACATGGCTTGACTCTTTCAGGAATCAAACCTTGTCCTTTTCTTCACTTTCTGACTTACTTTTTTGTATAAGTCAGTTGGATTCATGAAATATGTATTGGACATGAGAATCTTTGTATGCCCAATGCTTAAAATTGAATCAAATTTGCACCTGTTTTTTTTTCCCGCCACCTGACTCAGGACCTTACAAATATAGAGCTATTTCTAGTTGCCAAGGAAGTTGAGGAATCTCTACTACGACGAGAAACGTCGTGCTGCCTAAACTGGTGCCACGACAACAAATCTAAACTTAGGAAAATAAAGGTAAGACTAAAGGCTGGGTCATACTTCAGGGAGCCCAAACATGGATTCAGACGTCAGATGAGATATTTGCAGTGCAACAGTTGAACACATTTCAACTCAAGTGAAATTTCGCTGCAAATCTTTTGTGACATCAAATGCGCTCCGCTTTCATGTTCGCCTGTAGTATGAACCAGTCTTTGGACACATCAACCATATAATGTCAGATTTATTACAAGGTCCAAGGTTTTTGACCATAAAACAGAGGGAATTAAGCCCGATGTATTATACTGTAGTACATTTTTTAAGAGCTTAATATACGTAACGAAAAATCTTATGTTGATAAAAGCAAGCATTATTCAAATAAATAATATCATCTTGTTCGACTTAATTTCCAAAAATTATTGAAAATTCACACTGATGACAAAGCTCAATAACTTTCCATTGTGCTCATTCACTGGCCACTCAGGGATCAACATTTTACAGCACGCCAACGTATTGTCACCAGAAATCCTCCTTTCATCTTTGTGTCTCATCTCCAGAGTACACTTGAATTCAACTTAAGAACCCAGGAGTTCATTGAGCTGATTTTGCTCAACAAGCGTGTGGAGGCGGTACGCCACGCCCGCAAGTACTTCAGCTCCTTGGAAGGAGAGCAGCTGGCTGAAGTCCAGAGGGTCATGGGGCTCCTTGCATTTCCAGCCGACACGGATGTCTCACATTACAAGGTAAGGCCTCCTGGTATGTGTCCCTTAGAAAGGTTTTATGCAAGCAAATCCGGGGTTTGAAGTTATGCAAATTGGTCTGTGTATTAGGCATGAGGATCAGAGAGGTTAAACAAAATTTCAAATATTTGTGGTTAGTAGGTACAAAGAAAATTTACCCCACCCAAACACCTGTAGCCTTGTCTTTACCCTTTGATCTGTCTAACTGGTGTGAATGTTTTGTTTATTTCTTGTAGGAGTTACTAGATGGACATCGCTGGCAGCAGATTGTGGACCAATTCCGAGAAGAAAACTACAAATTGTATCAGTTAAACATCACACCTGTCTTAACAGTCTCGTTAGAGGCAGGACTTGCAGCAATGAAAACACCGTATCCTTTCCAAAACACTCTTAACCTATATTCAGATTACTTTAACCCTATTTGATGTAGTTTTTTTCTGTTAATGTACGTATATTCTGTGGAGCCTTAAGAGACATGTAAATTATTGAATTTCTGCAGAAATCTCCATTTGAAAAATGACTTTTACTGGAACAGAATTTGCTTTTACTCCCTCTGGTCCTTTTGATAATCCTTAAGGTATTACCCACTTACATCGTATTTATATTTCCTTGACTACTAACCACTACTCCCAGGCATTGCTATAGCGACAATAACAAGAATGCTGATTGCCCCGTATGTAGTAAGAACCTTAACGAGCTGGCAAGGAACCTTCCATACGCACACTGTGCACAGTCTAGACTGGTCTGTTCAATATCAGGTCAGAATTGGTGAATGGTTTCTGTTCATTTTGACCCTGTAGTTTAACCCTCCTTGCCCCTTTGTGTGTTGAGGATCGACTCTGATCTCCGTAAATTCATCAATCTTTACCTCAAGTCAGATTCTTCTCAATTTTGGGTAACTCTGATTTCTGGTAATGTAAGTAATTGGTAGCATTCAGAAAGCAAATGTATTGGACTTTTACAATGTTGAAATTAAATTTGAAGTTTCTTGTGTCTTCAAATGATTTCAGAAATCATCCGTGGTTTTTTTTGTGTTTTTTGTTCACATTCAGGCAATATAATGAATGAACATAATCCACCCATGATGCTTCCAAACGGCTACGTGTATGGAGAATGCGTGAGTATCTTCAGACATTTTTGTTTAATCGGGTTTAACTAAAATTTTTGAGTGTACCAGTTTTTAAACTTTCTGTGCAAAGAAAGATCGGACAGTTTATTCTTCATACTCATTTTATTCGTTCAATTTTTCCCCATCATTCAGTCTATATTATTTCTTCCCCTCCCCCTTCTCCACAGGCCCTGAAAAATATGGCTGCCGTAAATAACGGAGTGGTGACTTGCCCCAAGACCAAAGAGAAATTCACCTTTGACCAGGTGGAGAAAGTCTTCATCATGTGAGATGGCTTGCAAGAATGGCAGCTGCAAGTGTTTGCCTCAGTGTGGACTATCATGGATGAGAGAGCCCTGCTTTTAGAAAAGATTTCTGTCTTTTGAGGGCATCTGACCCTCAGATACTTGCTAGCTGTCTCACAAGTGATATCCAGGCCTGAAAGTATTGTTGCAAGTAATCTACAGTGTATTCAGTGATTCAAGAGAAATGTATCCTGCAAATGTATCCTGAGCTGTGGCGCAAACTTGCATGCCAACCACGTAACCTGAAATTTTGTCTCCTTTGCATGTGCCGCTCAGTGATAACAACCCGTATACTTAATGTAAGAAGTCCTCGGGTATGTATTGTATACAATGAATTGGGGCCAAGGGCTTGGCTGATTGAAGCAGAACAATGAAGACGCTCTAAGAAGAAATTGTAGACAGCACTCTGTTACCTACCCGCACACTTGCAAGTAGCAGGAAGGATGCCTGACTAATTTGCAACTGAATGCGTACAAATTGTTGCATCTTCACATAGCAGACTAGTGGCCATGTCCAAAAGTTAAGGCTGCGACTGTAACACATGTAACACATGAACTTATGGGAGCCACTGGCTAACGGCTGCAATCATTTTCCCATTATAAAGCCACAGCCATTTAATGCAAATGTTGTCAATGTTTCTAAATTTTTCTAGTAAGGAGAGAGTTACAGTTTATGCATGAGGTCTGAAGTGGAGTTCTGTATGCTTTTCAAAACAGTAATTTCCTTGCCTCGGGCCCTGTATTGGCGGGGGAGAAGCTTAGTAGGCTGCACAGGGTAGCACGGTGTTTTCAACTTAAAAGGTTGCATTCTACTTAAGCTGAGAAGATGGAAATATTTTGTTTCTCTGCCTTTGAGAGTTTCACACATTCTAATTATTTTACATGTGGATATGATTTGGGATGTTTGTTTCACAATAAAGTATAAACACAGCACTTGCGTGTGCTGATAAAGTAAGCATAATCCTTCGTCTAAAATACCCTAACAGATGAAGTGTCATCTCACTGTAGTTTGAATGTGCCATGCAGCTATCAAACTAAAGCATACAAGAAACTGACGTAAAACGTCTTGCTGAAGAGCACTGGTGTACACAAATAGGATATTTTAAGTACCAGACGTCAGTGCTTGTGGAACCAACAGATTCAAAGTCTTGATGTGGAAGATATAATACATGTACTTGTATAAGTTGATTTTTTTTATATCTCTGTAACAAACCTTATGTAATCAGTATAAAGTTGAATGTTTTAAGAGGTGAAAGAAAATAACAGGCCAGTAAATTTCATGAAATCATTAACATTATTCAGGTATATTGTGTTTACTGTCGGGTGATGCTGTTAGTTTTTCCTCGTCCAAGTTCCACGAAGCAAACAGTAGATTTAAGTCCATGTGTTCAAAACTGAAACATTTTGGCCAGTTTTGGACTAAAGCTGATATCATCCACATTGTTACTATCCGGGACTGGAAGACTTGAATGCAGCACTGCTTCCAAGAGTACACCTTGTAGACTAAATAAAATAACCATCTGTAAGCTTAAAGCCTGATGGTTCTCTGGACTTAAGCTCATTTCTTGAATTCCCAAGTTTATGTTCAAAGCTTTAAACTGTCATTAACTAAAACTATATCAAACGGCACCCTTGAGCAAGTAACAGTATGACTTTGAGGTAGCAATTTGTTTTGAAGCTTTAATTTATTTGACTTCTCTGTCCAGTGTCCTGTCTTTTTGATTAAGAAAAAAAAAAGGAAATGAATCCCGAGTTTCCCTTCATAAACATAAATACACTTGGAAATGTGCAGTGCATTCCTTTGCTGTCTCCCACAATGCAACATCAGGAGCTCAACATGATGTGGCTGAGTGCAAGAGACATAAGAATAGAATTCTGGCATCACCACAGGAATTACCGGACTCAAGTGCTTTCTAGTCAATTTATTAAAGTGAATCGTTTAGTTGAGATGTGATTGAAGAGTTTTGAAATCAGATTTTGAACAAGAAAGCTCTTTGTAACAGTAATCCCTAATACAAGTGTTTCTCTAATCACTTGGAGCTTTCCTGGAGTTAAATAAAGTAGGCTTTTAATTATTTGAATTGTGTTCTCGTTACAATTTCCATCATCTTTGGAAATATTTTTCTGTTGGATCCCTTTTCGGTAATCCTGTTCCGGCATTTTTATTGTATCATTTTAAAGCTAATTGTAATTAATTCACTGATTGCCACATAAGTGGTATTTTCTTTAAAATATAAACTGAAAGGGGAAGTGTTCGCTACAAACGCAACCTATTACACAGGAGCTCCATCATACTGAGAACACTAACTAAGATGGTTCATTTGTTATCAATGCTAAATTTCCTTATTTTGTGAGAAAAAGGGAATTTTGTTTCTAATGAGGCACTGTATGGTGATAAATGCACAAATATTTATGGTGTATGCTATTCATGCAACAGTTTACAAAACAAATTTTGTCTTTTCGTTGAAGAGAGAATTGTATTTGCCTCAAGATTTTAATATTCTTGGATGCTTAATCCAAAGATAATTTTTATTTTGACTGTTATGTGGTATTATCCTGTTTGTACCTATGTGAAGTTTTCTTTCTGATGGAAAAGTCGGGCTAACTTTTCAAATTTCGACTGTACTTTTCAGCTCGTATTAATTTCAACAGTGGCCATGAATATCAAGATGTTTATGCTCATAAGCATGTCAAATAAAGTAAAACAGACAGTTAAACCGGCCAGACTGTTTCATTGTGGCTTGATTGTTGAATTGATGCCCGACAAGTTGTCTGTGAGGTGGAGAAAGGGGTTGGAGAGATCCAGAGAGAACAGGATAGATACTGCCCAAAATACTTTGTAAGTTTCACAAGGACATTTTCAAATAACTTCTTTGAAGTTTAATTACTATGATCTTGGCAGTATCGTGTTCAAAAACACTGTTTTAATTGCTTTGAACTTCAAAATTCTTTATTAAGAAATTTACTGTCAATGAATGCAACACTCGGACTTCAGAGAGATAAGACCACTTTTGTGCTCAAACCTGCCTTTTTATAACCAACCTCATTGAAACAATGCTGATATATGTACAAGAAATGTCTTTACAGTTTTAAAAAGGTGATTAATTCTGAAGAAATCGTGCTAAAATAAATAATGCTAGAAAAATGGATGAAAGTATGGAAGTGAAATAGAAGGACTTGGATCATTAAGAAGTATAGTAATTTGTTCCGTCAGCCTCCTAGTTGGTAGAAACAGTAGCTTACTAAGATCAGAAAGTAAATGACTCTGTGGTATTTACCCTGTGGAAACAGAAGAATATATCCATGCGTTATTATTTTGACTGATATAACAAGCACAAAATTTGCTTTCCTGGGTTCTTCTTAAGTTTACTCTGCTGGCAAGGTTTTATTTTTTGACTTGAATATAAAATTTTCAAGAACAGTGTGATTCTTTTTTTGAGTGAAATTCACTTCAACTGGATTTCTGTAATTACCAGTGTTGCTTGTATTTACTGGGAAAGATACAAAAGCCAAACTTTCAAACAATTTTGAGGAAACTTTTAAATCAACAATGCAACTGGAAAATACATGCAAAAGTTGAAAGCAAACATGGCGAGGATGAGTTTGAGAAATGAGATGTGTTTCAAGCTTTTACAATGCTGAGAACTATGCAGTTTTCATTTCATATTTATACTTCAGATTCAGCACAAGTTTTAATCCTGAAAGTTTGGAATTAACGTAGAATAAATCACCACAGGTGTAGTAACACAAAAACACGGCACTTGGTCATACTGTTCAGCCACAAATGAAAAAGAAAATGACAAATAACGTTTGCATAGTTTTATAATTTGTACAGAAGTTTATAAGATATAATAAAATGATTTGCAAAAGCTTGCATTACTAAAAGGGGTACAAAATTCTCTTCGTAGACACTTTGGCAGAGGCTTTACCTGTAGAAATCCAACCAGCTCAGTGTACGCCAGGTTGTGGATTTGATCATAGGTACTTTGTTACCCTGGATATCCCAGATAAGGGTCTGATGGGGCTAGTAAGCCTTGTATGAGTACTTCCAAGGGTTGGGTTTCAGATGAGGCTCCTGGCTGGAGACCAGGGTTTGTGTTTCTGTCTTGTAGGGTACATCCGGTGAGCGGAACCAATCGGTGGTTGTCGTGTCCAGTTTCTGCTGTCCATGCTTGGGCTCCGAGTGTTGGCGGGGGAAGCGACGTCTGGTGGGTGGTTGCCTACAGGGCCTGCCCGGGAAGGCATCCCGGTAGTTTGTGGAAAGCAAATCCTGCTCGGGCAAGTCCCACGTGTAAAAATCCTTGGAGCCATGCTGCCTTTCATCACCATGGAATAGGCGTTTACCGAGACCCTCAAGTTGGACGAGAAAGAAAACGTAACAAAATCATCCATTTACATTTACTTTTCATTTTATCAGAATCTTGAATGAGGAAATATAGAATGAACTCAGTCAATATTTCCAGTTGAAACATTCAGACATCAAATGTAAAATTAAGAAACAATTCCCATTATATAAAATTTACATTTTACATTTTATAAAATTTAAAAGAACTAAGACAGGTACTAAGAGGGCATTAAATAAATATTCTGGATTTCAGCCCCCCAAAAACAAGGAATACAGAGAATATGCTACTTTTATTTGGAAACATAACAGAATAAAAGCCACAAATTTTGATTAATCTGTTACCAAACTCTGCTTACATGTCCAAAATAGACTCCATGATCCTGAAACGAATTTCTGTTGTCGTGCATTGAGAAGGGATTGTTGACAGTATAGGATAACTGGAATGGAAAAAGAAAGTAATTTAATTTCTCAACCCTATGTACAAGTACTTGTATGTGTCTTTTGAGTGTAATTGTTACTTCCCTGCAATCTAATTACAGCAATCTAAGAATACATTTTAATGCAATAAACCATTCCTTAAAAAGTCCTATTTTTGTCTCCAAGTTTCATCTATAGGGACACACTTACTGAACTTTGAAAGTCACAGTAAATTTATTATACTTCCGTAATCTAAGTCAGACAAGAAATTAATATATCCCCCAAAGCTGACTCTGTATTCATTAATCATTAGCTGTATCACGTTTTTACAATCCTGCAGCCACACTTTGAACCCCTTTATGTTTTGTTTACAACCATTGAACATTGGACAGTGGGGAGTGACAGCGGATATTGTCTGATCTTTACAATACAGAACGGGCCATTCATGCTGTCTAGCGTGGAGATTGATTGACCTTATATCTTTACTCACCTCTGTCACATTCTACTCTCTTGTGTTAAGAAATCAAACTAACACATAAATATCTGAAGGCGATTCACTGTAATGTGGGTAAGTTAAAGTGCCAAATATGCATGATAACCAAGATAAAATATTCAGAGGAATAAGTTTTGATTTTTTAAGCAACCCTACAAAGGCTGAAGAACACTTTTAAACTCTCCATATGTTAACATGCATACACTCTTAGCAAAGCTGTATTCACGTTCAGTCATGTCACATAACATGCAATTCGTGATCCCTTCAGCATTTGAGTCCAAACAAGTTATTACAGCAAGTACCACACGGAGTTCCTCACCTCTATTTTTGTATTAAATGGTTCTGGTGGAGGTTTGGGTCTCTCTGGTTGCTGTTCCCTGAGCGACGTGCTTAGCATGCTCCCCGTACTCGTCATTGTGTCTCTCATCATGGGTGGATCACTCCAGCCTCTGGTCCGGAACTAAGACAACCATTCAAATAAACCAGAACATTACAATGAGAAATACAAATGTATCAGCATTAATGTCCAACTTACAAGGCAACAAATACAGTATCTTGTCATTACATTTTCAACAGATGATGATCAGTCATTACAATTGTGTGTCTGGCGAAATTTAACCGCTAATATTGAATATGCAATGAGAGCATTTAAGAACTAACTACATTTAATGAGACTAACTAAAAGGAGTATTTTGCACCATAAAACATATTCAAAAAACAAGGACATTATTTTGAAAAAAAAATTACAAAAGGTGATAGAAACACTACACAAATTTCAACAGCAAAATATGTTTAGTTTTAATTTGTTTTCTCTTGACAATGACAATTTTGACTGGTAAAACTAACTTACAGATGAATCCGTCCAATAATTAGTAACAGAGGTATATAGCATAGCATAGCCAAGAGCTTCTAATAAATCTTTTTTCTTATTTTCAGGTTTACCTTCTGAAGCTAGTTGTCAGCCCAGAGCCCTTAACTTTTAAAGTTAAGGCTAGGGCCTGGGCCAAAGTTTCAATTGTTTATCAACATTAATATAAAAACTAAACATGCTAAAACTTTGATCAGTGACGTGAAAACTTACCCATATTCCATCATTGCTTGCAGATGGTACACAAGCCCTCGATTTGGGCATGACAAACTAGGATTAACTGGCAGTTGTTACTCAAGTTAAAGAGGCAACTTTTTGGTGCGTTGAATGGCTGGCTGAACTGAGGTGAGCGTAGCCTATACCCAGCTAGGTCCTGCTGAGTTTTGTGCTAAGCCTACTTAGTTTAGCTTGAACTTAATTGAAGACAAGTGCTGTGCCCGGCGTTATGATTTATATTTGGAAGGAATCTCATCTGGTGTCAAGTATCAAATGTAAACAACTCGTAGAATTGAACCTGCACCAACACAAGTAATATTTTGGTCTAGATCGTACAGATATTTATCGCTGCCGGTTTAGCATTGTGACAAGGTAGGTAAGACACCGTACCAATGATCATGTGTGTACACACGTTACCGAGGTAATGGTCTGATTTCTGCCACCTGCACCATTGAATTATTCAATCTGTACATAGTCGGAACCGTACTAAGGGAAGTTCAGAAAAGAGCGCCACCAACGGTTTGGTATTGACGCAGGTCGCAGAGGTGGATTGGGTCGCTGCGGCGGCGACGAGCGAAGGGTGGAGGCCAGAACCAAGTGCAGGGTCATGTTGACTAATGATAAATCAACATGGCCCACTTAAAAACTACAATTATTGTAGCTGAAAACCATGAAAACGAGGATTTTCGTTTTGTTTATTTGTTTATATTTTGTCCTAGCATGCCAGCACAGCCTTCACTTTTCCAATTTTGGGGGACTGTTGGCGAACGTTTACATATCAAAGGATACCGATAACCAACGATTTGAAATATATCGCCAAAAGATACGTGATCAGTGATACTTTGTGAGAAGACAGGTTACCACCCTGTGATTGTACCAAGGCCATGTTTTTATCATATAGCCAACACTTTGACCTTGCCAAAGCATTACCATTGGCGAACCAAAAAATTTAAATAACGCTTCGCTAACAGGTCGTGTACAATGTAGTCAATCACAGTGCAAAGCCATCAGCCCTTTCCCTGGGCGCTGGGACGGTGACGAGCGGACAATCTGAGGCGTTTTACATACTATGGGAGGAAAAAACGAAATAAAGCAAAAATCGCCTTTTGCTATATTATATATCTCTCTTATTATTTTGGGGGCTTCATTTTAGGGTGGAGCCACGGCCCCCGTTGGTTCTCTGGTCGGATCTGCCCTTGAATTTCACAAAACATCGAGTCCAGGGTCCAGTTTCTTTTATCGGTAATGAAAACCGTGACTTTTGCGCATGCGCTGACATCTCAAACCTGCACGAGCTGTATATAACCACAAGCAGCTGCATTCCCAGAAAATTATTTTTGGTTACGCTACGTAATATCACACCGAAAATAACAACATTGTTAGGTTCATATTGAAAGGCGGAAATGGCTGTGTTTGAGGGGAAAGACACATTGTAATCGGAAGAATCTGCATTACTCCACAACCTTTTTATGATAAATAAGTAAACATTTTGAAAAATTAGCCTTTTAATTCAAGGCTTTCGGTAGTTTTCAAAATACTGTCACCCAATATTGTAAACAATTTTTTTTATTGTGGCATAATGGCCAAAGCAGTAAATCGATTGGCAATGAAATCTCAGTCACACCACATGACGCTTTCACGTCAGCAATTCGAACTGGAAAATCATACACATGTGATTGTATCATAACGTTTGATCAATATTAATAGGCGTTTTCTACGACCTTTAAATTAACTACCAAAGGACACAGTACAATGATTGAATCCACAATCTGATTGCTGTAAATATAGCCTGCGCTTTGCCTGTCACAGCCTGTCAAACCTTGTTTGCAATTATCAAAGCAGATATTGTGGATTTTTTTTTGCTGTTGTTGCTTTTAGGTCATATTTGTGATATTTCACCCAAGATGCCTGCAACGAAGCACACTGTCGTAAATCACAGCTGTCAAGTCTTCATGGTATATATAGCTCTGGTTTCTGCGATATTGTCATCAGAAGGAACTGCAATACCCCAAGGGGCGAAGCGATCTAGATCAGGTAAATGAATGGTGCACTTGTACTCTAAGAACGGCCTCTTGTTTTGAAAAAAATGCAATTATTTATACCAACTGACATGAAACAAGGCTTTTAATGCAGCCACTACACCAAATACACTGGATAGCAAAAGCAACTACCAC